ATGCCAGGTTTGTTGTTGAGTTCATAATTAGGAGTGATCAAAGAATCTAAATAGTATCAGCTTTTACTATGCTCATTCTTACTCTAGAATAGGAGAAGGTGAGGAGAGTTTGGAGCAGGTTGAGGGTCATGAACAAGCAGACGGATTACTAGGAACTATTGCCATACAATGGAAGAGCTTCCTCTCAGCAGAAAGGGCCATTCTCTCTGATGGTAGCCTATCAGAAAGGCAAAATGGTGTAGCAGGAAGGCTAACTTGTCTCCAACCCAACTCCACTACCCATTTAACTTGGGTAGGTATTTGAATCTTTGCCTTTCTGCCTCTAGAACAGAGATTTTAACCAAGTATCTATTTCATTTTTCTATATCGTGAGGACTAAGTATAATAGTATATATAAAACTATTACCAGGGGTTATTATATTGAAGAATACTTGACCATGCACTGAATGAAGCACATAGGAATTGTAATGCTATAGAGATTCAGAGACAGGCGAGAAGGAAAAGGACACAGTTATTTGCCAAGCCTTTAGATTGGCCTTGAATGCTGCCTGAGATTTGAAGGCATGGGTAGAAAAATATTTGAAGAGTTTACAGCAAAATTGTAGATAGACTTGGGGATACCTAGGTCCCATTTATGAAGTAATGAGGGCAGCAGCTCCTGATGGCCAGGGATTTGGACCAAACACAGTAGCAACCTGAGAGATCCATGGGGAAGTAGGAGTTTTGGAGGTTCTTCACAGCCAGGCTCAGAGTTTGATGCATGAGGCAGGAGGGACCAGGATGCTGCATAAATGGCATCTTTTAATTAAATTAATCGGACAATATTTTAGAGTTGAGAAGAAGAGAAGCGTCTGCCATCATTAATTTTATCAAATGGATTCAAGTCTGTGGTGCCAGAGGGGCCAGCACTCTGGTGGGCTCTAATCCTGATGGGAATTTGCCAGACCCTGTTCAATTTAAAAAGGGACCAGTCGCAAGAGCAAGGAGAATCTGAATGTAGGAAATTATTTCACAAAGTGCTATTTTGTGCCTCAGCCAGTCCCTTGCCTATTAAATCCTCTTGAATGTTTGTTGTGGCTTCACATTTCTTTATTCCTATAAAACACCCTCTCTGTAGTCCCTCCCCATCTAGACCTCATCATTTCTCCTTTTAATCTGAGAGTGAAAATGTGCTCAGCAGGTGCTCTCTGAACGTTAATTGCAACGTCCACTGGTGACGCTTGCACGGTGGCGTTGTAATTACTTCCCTGTATCCTTTTAATTTTCCCCCCTCTTGCTCACATCTGAAACTGAAAATATCTGTTCAACCCCTTGATCTGAGCAATTAGTTAAGTGCTATGCAGCTGGCTATCTGGGGGCGGCTCAAACCCTTCCTCATCTCTGTTCAGGTCTGACTAGAAATCTTCTTGAACAGCAATGCCTGTAATTAGCATGCAGTTGAAGGAAATTCTTAAGAAACGGTGGTTCTCAAAGTGGGGTCCCCAGGTAAACAGCATTGGCATTATTGGGGGAAACCTTTAGAAGAACAAATCCTCCCTCATGCCAGACCTACTAGCTCAGAAATAGGGGCAAAGGCATAGAACTTAAGAAGCCCTCCAAGTCCAGGCCGAAGCCGACAGCCAGACACAGAGAGGCAGGAAAGCATACCTGGGGAGCACCAGCATAGGGGCTGAGAAGGGCCAGTTCCACCCTCTCATAGTTGACTCAGACTTCCAGAAGAACAACCGTCAACAGGGAGATTTTTGTCTTTTGCCTTCTCTTCCCTTTGGAAGAAAAGCCAGGTCAGCCCTTGCTTCAAAGCCTTGTCTTTTTGAAAGACAAGTTCCAAAGTCAATCTGTTTGTTGCATCTTCCTGCTCAGGGACTTGTATTGGAAATCATATTGGTGAATAGATGAAGAGTTACGTTTCCCATATTGGGTGAGTCTCACTTCTCCTCCCTAGAGTTATCTATACTGAAAATACAGTGTTTGGAGAGTAAAGAGGAAATGAGTTTATAGTTTAGCCTCAATCCTATAATGAATGCTTTCCTATGAGAAAAAAACTCTTCCTTAAGTTTCCTATAAAAGTACTTCTAGGATCTTGGTCAAAATCCCATATTTGTCTAAGGTTTTAGCATCACACTGGATCTCTGTATGAGAAGACCCTAGGAACAAATAGCTACTGAGAATTATTAAGTCTTTGTATTATATGGCATTGGTTAACCAATAGATGCAAGTCCATCTATTGCTCCCAAAGTCACAACTAAGGGCTTTCCATTCTTAAAATACCACATAGACATTTTTCCTACTGGTGACATGCACCCACCTAAAGCCTTCTCTGATGTGGGCAAAGCATCAGTAGAACGAAGCTATAGATTCAAGTGTATGATCCAGAATTGCTGTCTTTTGTAGTTTAAACAGACACTATTCCTTGCTAATACTCAAAAATTTTATGTATTTGAACAAGGAAACCCTTCTACTTAATATGAAGAGGAAGAGGAGTTTACATTTCATTCTCTAATCATTACTCATAAAGAAGAAGTCTCTTGGAGAGAAAGATACATCCCAGTCAGTCAAGCTTTTGATTGTTGAATGATGTATCCTCTTTTTACAAGATCAGTGGACTTCCCCTGGGGTTGTTTCCACACAGGAGGTGAAATAATGAAGCTTTGGAATCTCCATTTTGGGCCTCTGATTGTGTGAGTCTATGAACTATAGGTACTTGAAGGGTTTATCTCAGAGGGGATCCTGGTAAACAGTTCTGATGCCACTTGAAAAACCAGGACATGGCATTGCTCCTGGGCCTCCTGTGGTAAGCAAGAAATAGCTCAAAGGGAAGTAAAACACATTCCCTGGTCACTCTGGATCTTCCCCTGTCTCAGCACCTAACTATTTTGCCCCCTTCCCCACTGGGTCATGTGTCAGGGTATAGTAGCTCATACTACCTGTGAGCTTAATGAGAGCTAGGACTCAAGAAATCATCATGAGATGGTGATGCAGTCAGTTCTAAATTGTTGAAAGAACAGGGAGAAGGGGTCTGTTACATTTTGTGCCTTGTTTTCTATACACTTGGGGGAAGGGTGTTATGTTTTTCAACACAGTATTCTCTAACTTGAAACCTTTTCAAGTTATTGCTCTGGGGTAGGAACAATACAGAGGGAACCACAGAAATGATCAAAAAGCAAGGAACAAGGAAAGAAGTTTGCTACAACATGGTTATAACTATAGTAGCCAGGGTGTCTGATATGGGCACACCTTGTAGGTCTTGTTCTTGAAATAAGCAAAGTCTCACCATAGCCAGGGAATTGCAGAAGTGAACCTTATTCACTCTGGCCCTGGCTTTTCCTTTTTTTCCTTTTTCCTTCATTTAAATGTGCACCTATGCAGGTTAGCAGGCAGAAAGAAGTGATAGGCTGTAATATGTATTGCCTCTTAGCTTCTGCCTCCTTTTGGCATAACCAAACTCCACATTGTTTTTTTTTTCCTTCCATTTCCCTGACTTAGAAAGAACCAGGCTGTTGTCATAACTTTTGTAAAAGCACTGTTTTCAGTGCAGTTGTTTTTGTGCAGTTTGCTTAGTTTGTAAACACAAATGCAGTGTACTCTTCATGCTTGTCTGGAAGTTTTAACACATCTTGGTGGTTTGGGAGATGGCAAGGGGCATGGCTGACCTGTAATCGGGATGAAGAATGGAGAAAGCCAATGCATGTTACATGATGAGCGAATTCCACAGACTGATGTACTATGCCTCTAGGTGGGCCCTTGCATTTCCCAGACTGCACAGATTCCTGCCTGTTGAAAAGCAAGCATTGTCCTTACTGAAGTACAACTATACTAACTGGTATTGCCTACAATGATTTCCAAAGCCCATGCTGCTTGGAAATCCTTCATCTTGCAGCTAGCAAGAAATATCTTCCATCTCAAGCTAGCTCTCTCCTAGAAGGAGAGGTCCGTGTTGCTTCCCACTTGGGGAAAACATTTTGGTTTTTCTGTTCCTCTTTCCCTCAGCTCACTTACTTTCTTGTTCCTGGCCTGGGTGTTATCTGTTTACGGATAACAGTATACCATGAATTCTCATTCACAGCTTTGAGATGTTTAGGAGGCTTTCCTGCTTCCCACTCAGTTCAAACCTTGGGACTTTTCACACACTGATTCTGTGATCAGTTGGCCATGGGAAAGCACATGGGAGCGATGTACCAGTTTGTATAGTAGTATCCTTGTGAACTTCCTTCTCCTAAAGAAAATAGAGTGTGCTGGGGATGTGCATTGGCTGCTTGACATACACACAGAGCCAGTTAACTCGCATGCCAGAGCAAACAAAAATTAACCCTTAGAGTACTGCTTCAGCACTTTGGTTTAACCATCTTGAATTTTGTTGGTGGAGTAATGGTTTCATCCCTAGATCGGGGTATCTCAGAGAAAGTCCATATTTAGTCTATGTAGAAAATCAACCAGGATCTTCTCAATGGCTTGCTTGAGATGCTCCTGGGTCCTTTATTTACTAGTCCTTTAATGGCTTTTTAAAAATCCAAACATGGCCACTGTATTGATGGAGAATGAACTCCACTTCGAATATGCTGGAGGGCACAAGAGCTTGATGTTTTTTTTTTAGCCATGGTGTTTGTCCTCTTAAAGAAGGAAGTCAGTTCTTTAAGGGTTAATATGAAATCAAGGAACTTGATGATCATCTCTCCTCCTGCTTGTCTTTCCTCCAAGGTGTTTGCATGATTCTCTTTAGATTCTTAGTTCAACTGTTGAATGATGATTAAAAAATAATACATACATAAATGCTTTCCCAAACCCCAAAAAGCAAAGCAAAGAACAAAACACTGAATGATTGAATGGAAAGCCCCTTGGCAATGCTTGCTTGATCATTACAGAGGGTAGAAAAACCAAATGTCATATTTGATGAACATTCATTTCATCCTTTATCCTGTGTTAGCATCATTTCTCGGCATTGTGGGAGTTGTGATGATGTTTTTCCATTTACCTCTTGCTTTTTGTTTTCTTCCTGTTAATAGCCCAATAGAATCCTGCCAGAATTTCTACAAAGATTTCACATTACAGATCGACATGGCTTTCAACGTGTTCTTCCTTCTCTACTTTGGCTTGCGGGTAAGTTTTGAATTATTATTTAGTATGCTTAAACCCAGGGATCATCCCCGAATCTGCTTCAGCCCTCACAGGCAAGGTGAAGCCCAAGGTCCCTCCAGGACAAACAACATACCTGTTTTCTGATTTTCCAGTGTGTGAGAGACCCCTTCCTTAACTAGAATATATTAACGCTATTTCAAGGGGAAAAAAACTAATTGAAATAATGATGATACTGCTATTGGCCAAATGTTTGTCCTCCCCCTGTTCAAACATAAAGCCATTGCTCTTTAAAATTAAGTGGAACAAGCCCTTTAGCTCTTAAAATCATGGCTACCTGTACTCAGCTCAGAGAATAACTGAGAGGGTGAGCAAGGAAAATAGACTGGCAGAATTTGTAGCTTGAAGGCATATACTAGAACCTATTGTACACAGTACTGTCCATAATCTGAATTTCCGAGGGGTGTGTGTGTGTGTGTGTGTGTGTGTGTGTGTGTGTGCACAAAATTATATTTACATTAGAGAGTCTACTGAAGGTGAGATTACTCAACACTCTCTATGAGGCTGTTGGAAACTGCAAAGAATATATTGTCTGATTCTTTCTAGAAAGTTCACATAGCCTATAGTCCCTTTGTAGAAATGGCTGTGTCTCCAAGAAGATAAACATGTGATTGATATAGGAGAACATATGTGATAAATAGAACATCTTCCAGACCATGACAAAAAACCTAAAATTTACTCTCTGGCAAAAGAATTATAGATTGAATGTCAACACAACACCATGATTCTCATTTCCCCCTCTCTCTTTCCTGTTTCTTCTTTTCCCCAGTTTATTGCAGCCAACGACAAGCTGTGGTTCTGGCTGGAGGTGAACTCTGTAGTAGACTTCTTCACGGTCCCTCCCGTGTTTGTATCTGTGTACTTGAACAGAAGTTGGCTTGGTAAGTCCATCTCTTTTGCTTTCTTCTTACTAGTTCCTGAGCCATGATCCAATCAATATATGATCTAGGGTAGGCAAGGAGTCTGGACTTGTCCTGTGCAAAGAAAGTTTTGTGTATGAAGGTGAACAACTCTTTCAGAGCTCGGGAAATTGCTGGTGACAGTTCTCTTTTGGGACAGCAGTCCAGAAAGATCTGCCCAGTTAGTGCTTCAGTTTTATCATTGTTGAAGCTCAGGGGCCATCTTTGTCACGACCAGGACTTCTGTACTCATGGCTCTGTCACTATTCATTCAGGAACTTGGAGTCAGGATTGATTAAAGAAGTCCACGGGCACGAGGCCAGCTTCCAGAGTGATTGGTTCCGGTGCCCAAGATGGCTTGTCTGCCAGAGTTATCTTCTGTCTAGTTCTTAATCTATGTGTGGGTTATTTATAGTTGTGAATTCCTTTGTGAGGCAGGGCAAGAGGCAGCTTCTTAAGCCATCTCTGGCATTCCAGAAGACTAAGCTGTCTTCATGTATAAAGGAGACTTTTTGCTAGTATTATGTTATTAGATCATTTTCTATACTTGCTCAAGAGGTCACTTCCTGCACCTTCCCAAGAGGTCATTTTCTGTTTCCCCTCAAGAGGTCACTTTCTGCATCAGGATTAGGACAATTAGATGGGAAAACAACTTGTTGAGAAGATGGTCATAGAAGCAAAGAGCGTAAAGCCACAGCTTCACCTTTTACTTCCTGCATGTTTTAATTTGTTAAGAAATTGTGGAAGTGTTTCTGCTTCCATAGTAGCTACTGAGATGGAAGGGAAGCTGAAATAAGACTTGGAGGAATATTTTGGGGTTCCTCTGTCTTTATATTTTATATTTTTGGCTTAATTTTTCTCAAAAGTAACACATACATATTGTAATCAGTGAAAACAGTGAAAGATGAACAAAGAAAATAAATAGCAGCCATGTACAAGACACTATGTTGAAAATGAACTTTACAACTTTCCAAAGTTGGAGAAGTTGGAGAGGTGTGGAAGGAAGGAAGGGTAGGGGAAAAACAAAGGAGGGGGTAACAATGCTCTATAGGAAATATACTCATTACCTTACTCATGTAACTATAACCCCTCTGTACAGTATCGTTACAATAAAAATATGTGTATTTTAAAAACCAAAAACAGGAACAAAAGAAAATAGCATCCATTTCGTCTCTTCTCGCCCCTTAGGCTTTGCCCTTGAGATATTTTATGCCCTTATACCTCTACAACTTTCTCCCATGCTCATTCCAACGAAGCATTGAGGAGGGAGCTATTTACATTGAAAATTGAGCCAATCCTGCTGCACTGCAGTTTGGCTCTTCTTGTGAATATGTAATGGACATCCTCTCAGCTCTGTAATAATTTGTTTTATAAAATTTTATGACAGTTGTGGAAAAACTCCATTATTTTTTGTAGCACAGAAAACATTGTCATAAACCTAGTTGATGGCCACCTGAACGTTTTCATTTTCTTTCCCCCTCCCCTCATTATAAACAATGCGATAATAACCTCTCTCCATCCATATATTTTTGCAATTATGACTCTATCATTTCACATTGCTGGAACATAAATTGCTGCACCAAAGAATACTATATTTTACTTCATAGCTATGGATATATAACATTTCTAAAAGATGTTATTTCGAGGTGTACTTACTTCTGTTAGCAAAATGTTTTGATATTTTGGTAGCATTGTGAATTTATTGCATACCTGGTGTCAAGTTTTCTTTGTTAAATAAGCATCTTAAATATGTAATCACACTCATGCACCTGCATGTCTGTGTGGACGTACATATGTGTGTCTATATCCTTGTAGGGATCCCATTTCCTATTAGATTTCTCATTATGATTAAATTTACCTGCTGACTGGTGACGTTTTCATCTCTGGTCCAAGGTGCAGCTGCTTCTACTGGGTTTTCTATCCAGTAGGTGGAGAGCCAAACACAAACTCCAGGTGTGTCCTGAGTGGACCCCATGTGTGCCTGTGGGAGGAGAATCTGAGCTCCTGGCTCACTGTTAACTGGCTTTATGACCTGGGGAACTCAGGTTTCTTTACCCTGCCTTTTGTTTTTCTTCTGTAACATAGAAGTTAGACTCTGTGATCTCTAAGATACTTTCATCCCAACCAGTTTTTTAAAAGATTCTTAAAGAGAAGTTTAGAATCTATGTTATGGAGGCTATGGGGAGTGAAGTCATCTGAATCAAACTTGTCTTTTGTTTTTTTTTGGTAAATTATACTGGGGCTTAAACTCAGGGTCTCCTGCTTGCTAGGCAAGTGTTTACCATACTGCTTCAGGTATACCATTATACCTTTTGCTTTAGGTTATTTTTTCAGATAAAGACTTGAACTTCAGGTAAAGTCCTGGTTATCCTGGACTGTTGACTTCCTGCCTGTTTCTTCCATTTGCCTGAAATTACAGGCATGTACCACCATGCCTATTTTTTGTTTTTAACATAGAGGTCTTTCTACCAAGATAGCCTTAAACTTTGATCCTCCTGATATCCACTCCCAATAGATAGGCTTTTAACTGGAGATCTTCTTAAAAGAAAACATAGCTTAGAGTTCAAACACGTATCCTGTATATGCACGTGTTTTCTCTCTCTCTCTCTCTCTCTCTCTCTCTCTCTCTCTCACACACACACACACACACACACACACACACAAGTGAAGAGAGGAAGGGAAGAAAAGGGAAGGAAAGAGAAAGAACATGGGAAGGGACAGGAAAGGAAAGGAAGTGGTCAACTTTCATTTCTTGGCTGTGCTTTAATTGCTCTGTGCATTTGAACAGTCACTTTGCTTGTTTGGACTTTCAGTTTTTCCCATGTGATCAGTGGTGAGTTTGGACTAAATTACCTTCCATTCTGCTCACTTCATGAATCTGAATTCTATGGTGAGTGTCCATCCTTTTTCATGCTCTGAATAATCAAGGTGATCGCAGAGGCTGTGGTTGTGGTACAAATATTCTCTTCTCCACAGTTGAGGTTCAACTCATTCCTAAGGACACACGTTTTTTGGCTGTTTATTCATTAAACAATTTTTTTGGTGGTGCTAAGATTTGAACTCAGGGGGTTTCATTCAGCTTTCTTGCTTGCTTGACTGGCACCCTACCATTTGAGTCACCCCTTTCTCTTGGCTTTTTGATAGTTATTTTGGAGATGAAATCTTATAGATTTTTCTGCCTATTCTATCTTTGAACTATGTATATGATACTCTGGATCTCAGCCTCCTGAGTAGATAGGATTACAGACATTAGCTACCAGTGCCTGGCTCATTAAACATGTTTAATTGAAAACCTATTTTGCATCAGGAATTAGCCCAAATGACTGGGAAATAATAGTAGTTATTAAAATACGGTGGAGAGATGATAAACCATGGACCTAAAATATAAGTAAGTAATTTTGTATATGATGAAGCATTCATCCTCTCAGAACCAAAATGTAGACCAACAATCTTCTAGATGATGAAATAGCATGTTCTGTCTTGTAAGAGGGAACACCTCTAATGAAATGCTTGGGGTTTCTTTGATCACTGATCTTGGGTGAGATCCCAAACTGACCTGCCTCTTATGGGAGATAATTATTCAGTATAATAATGTTTTCAAGAGATTTCTCTGTCTGATTTAATAATGGGTTGTTACACTGGGGAACAATTATTATACCAATGAGCTGCCCGGGAGATCCACCCTACAAAGTAGAAGAAATGATCCCTTAAAACAAGGGCACTGTGGGCAGCTCTATCTTCTGGACAGTGGAAGGGTCCAGGTTTTGCTGGCTGAGCTTTGGGATAAGATGTAAGAAACAAGTCCATCCCAGGCCCACATGTACTTTGATGGGCTATTGTGGCCACTATGGTATAAACAGGAGGGAAAGCCAACATCCCAGCCTTTCGATGCACAACCCACACCGCATTTCTTGCCATGCATAAGAGCTGGCCTGTTAAGTGGCACATTATATATGTGATTTATCTTGGAGCACAGAAACATAGCTGCGTACTCAGTTTCTGCCACATGTTGGGCACTTTGATGAGTCCATTGCCTACATCAGCTCAATCTTCAGAGTAAGCCTATGGCGTGGAATTACTATACCCCATTTACAGATGAAGCTCAGAGGTTAGTTCTCTTGTCCAAGGCAACACAGCCCTGAATTGTCAAAGGGCCAGCTAATCCCAGATTTTGTCCATACCTGTCTTCTGTCCTTCCACCTCTGACTTTTTACCCTTGGAAGATTTGGGATTTTGAGAACTCGATTGGGAATGACTGTGTTCTTCCATCTCTTCTTACTCATGCAGGACTTCACTTGGGGTGACAAGAGGAGAGGAAGTCTTCCTTAAGAATAAACATTCCCATTGACCGTGGCATTTCAGTCTTGTAATTCTAGCACATGGGAGGCTGAGGCAGAAGGATCTTGAGTTTGAGGTTGAATGAGCAATATAGGGAGACCTTGTCCAAAACAAAAACAAAAAACAACATTCTTGTGTTGCCACTTTCCCATGTCTCCCCCTTGGAAGTGACATTTCCAGTTTCTAGAAATAGTATGAAAATGAGGGCAGTCCCTGTGTATCTGAGCATCTTGGGAATCCAGTCTACTGCATCTGGGAGACAGACCAATAGCTCTCACCCATCCTCCACCCTCCATTAACTCTGGTCTCACCCAACTCAATTCTCTTTGCCTTTAGCCACTTAGCAATGGGTTCCTCCGAGCAAGATCATTTAACCCATTGTAGGCTCAGATGCGTCAGTCTAACTCCCTTTAAGATTGAAAAATAATAGCAGCCAACTCCTAGGCTCACTGCAGAGTTCTGCTAAGGGAATGTGAACAGCCAGTGCACAGAAGTCATGACTAAGTCCTGCCCTCTCTTCCCAAACTGCCCATCACATTTTAAAGCACCAGAGGAGAAGACCAACTCAAATGGAACCAAAAATAAGGCCGCAGGATGTGAAGACATCCACATCTCTGGTGGCAAGTTGCTACTTATTTTAATCC